GGAGGGTGCCCAGGGCCTGCGTGCGACAAAGCTTTTGAAAAAAGTCGGCGCGGTGTTAAGCTGCTGGGAGACGAAACACCACAAAACTTCGGCGAGGGTCGCGATTATCAATTGCTACGCAATGCCGATTCTATTATTCCAGGCACAGATTTATGCCCCACCGCACGATATCTGGACCAAGGTGAAGCGGTTGTGTCACAATTTCATTTCCGGAGAGAAGGCACTCCTCGAGAGACATTTCACGCTCTGGAGCTACGAGCTGTCATGCAGGGGACGAAAGGAGGGAGGCTTGGGAGTGATTGACCTGAAGTAGCGGATTGATAGCGCGGTGATACAAAACCTGGGGAAGGCACTGGTGGAGCAGGAACCTTTGCGGAACTGGATTTGGGAGAGAGCCGTCGGCTCCCCACTTGGCTTGGCCACGATCTACGCTCATCCTTTGGTGCTGAAACACTGGTTTGGGGGGGGAGGGGACGAGATGGAAGGCGACAGAAAAAGTGCTGTGGGATTCGAAAATTGTGGTCATGGGAGACCCCGCACATAGATGGGACGCAGACGAAGAGCAGCTGCTCTTCAACCGCAAGATTTTCTTCCGGGGCAAGTCGCCTTTCGGGAACCAGGCGGGGTCTCACTGTCTAAAGGGTGTCAGGCTCGGGGACTTGGCGACCAGAGACAGAGATGGTAACAGGACTCTCAAAAGCGAGCAGACACTGGAACATGAACTGGGTGGCGTGGAGCAGAGAAAATGGGCCCTTAAAGCGTGGGACGCAACACCGCAGGGTTGGAAAGACATAGTACTAAGGCAGCTGACAGCGGTCGAAATTCTCAGGGAGACGGGTCTGGTTCGTCTGCCGTCATACCGCCCGGGAGAGTTCCTATTCTACAAATTAGACTTCGTGAACGAAGGCGTGTTGTACGGACGAAGGGTGACCGTGGACAAGAAAGGATTCATATCGGCGATGCAGTATGCTAGCATGGTGACTGTGGATTTCCTGCGCGCCACACCTATGGCGGTCATAGGAGGAAGGGTTCGAGGCCTACTCGGCGCCCCAAGAACGCGCCTACTCTACTCTCCAATCTGTGAAAGGGGCGAGCAGGGCGGGCTGAAACAGCTAAGGAAGGCAATGAAACCCCCGTCGACTCAGCCTAAGCAGCAGCTACAGTGGGAAGCGGCGGTGGGGAGGAAGATCAACTGGGAGAAAGCCATCACAATCCGTGACTTGCTGGCAACCCCATGCAGGGCGCGTGAGGTGATATTGAGGGTGCACAGTAACAACCTTCAAGTGGGGGAGAGGCTCCTTTTCTTGGGCGCGAGAGCGAAATGCACGCACTGCGGCGGAGTGGAATCGCAGGACCATTGTCTTTTCAGCTGCCCTATGATTCAGCCAGCGGTGGGGGTGATGAAGAAGGCGGTGCAATGCATGAACCCGGACAGGGACATGGGGTCCCTCGGAGACATGCTTTTCCAAAAAAATGGCACATCGACCGGCTTTCCAGATGCTGCAATGATCTCTATTACAGCGCAGCAAGTGTGGTTGGAGAGGTGCAATGCGGTGTTCTGTAACAGTCGGTTCCAGCCAAAAAGAGTACTGAGGCGCATGGCAGTAGGTTTCACGAGGCACGTGAAGATCTACAGTCGAGCGCGGAAGAGGACGGCTGACAGGAGTGGCTCAAAAAGGGCGGGTGACTGGGGCCACCTGAACACTGACGAGGCAAACGCTATGCGCAGACTCTACGAGAATGAGGCTTCGATGACGCGGAGAGCGGGTCTTAAGGCGATCTGGGAAGATGGTGGTGTTGCTTTCCAGCCCCCGTTAAGGGATAAGGGGGTTTTGGTTACTTGTAACCTTCGCATGCCCCCTAGCAATCAGTTATGACTGCGGATGTATGTATACGTGTAGTGTACTTATATCCACCAAAAAAAAAAAAAAAACAAGAGGCGACGAAATCGTCTTAGGGTTGCGAAGCGTTTCGCAGAAGAAATGCATTTTGTGCAACTTTTAATGTAAATGTTTGAATTTCGTTCTCTTATTATATCTGTAAAGGTTTGTGCAACTTCTAGTACCGAGTATGATCTTAGTGTTTCTGGTAAAGGTTTGCAAAAGCTGCCAATAGTACTCGAGCCCGCTGTCTTCCTAATCGAGATTCGACTTGCAAACAACTGCGCTACTCCACTGCCAGTATTTATGTTTACGTAATTTAAATAGCCGCAAACAGCGCGCCAAACAAATGCCCTAGGCTTCGACGGTTTCTTTTTCTCTCCTCTTGCTGGGCTAGGTTTCTTACACATCCTCCCGCTCCACCTACCAATCTAAGGTGAGAAAATCCTTAAGCTTTCTAGTAGAACTAAGTTAGAAGATTAAAACCTAGACTAACATCTCCTACTCTCGTCTCTAGTTGTTTAGACGGGATGCGGATTGTTTAAGTTAAGGGTACAGGCCGTTTGTAAAGACTTCACTTTTTTTCCTTGCCTTTCTTAGGTCGTAATCTTCGTCTCTTACTGCATATCTAGCATCTATTTCTTTTGTTCTTTATCGTTTCTGCCTTTCGTCGTATGCATATTTTCACTTTTTGTTGTTCTTAGATCTAGAACCGTCATAACCTCCTAGTTGACGCGAAGTCGCTTAAGGCCTAATATTTCTGTCAGTTTATTCGTTATCGTTCAAGATCTCATTGCCTTTCTTTCTCGTATGGCGTCTCTCTCCTTGTCCATCATTCTCGCTCGTCCCCCTCCCCCTCGTCCGTCCACTTCTCTCCTTTGTCCGCCTCACTTTGTATCTCCTTACGCAATTTTTACTTGAACGCTACTTTCTTCTCTCGTTCGTTCACTCTCTATTTCTCGTTCATTCTCTCGTTCGTTCTCTCTCGTTCTCTCTCTCTCGGTTTCTCTCACTCGTTCTCTCTCTCTTTCTCTCTTACTCGTTCTCTCTCTCACTCTCGTTCTCTCGTTCTCCCTCCCTCGTTCTCTCACTCTCGTTCTCTCTCTCTCGTTCTCTCTCTCTCGTCCCAATTCTCTCGTTCTCTCGTTCCCTCTCTCTCATTCTCGTTCTATCTCTCTCGCTATCTCGTTCTCTCTCTCTCTCTCTCTCTCTCTCTCTCTCTCTCTCTCTCTCTCTCTCTCTCTCTCTCTCTCTCTCGTTCTCGTACTCTCCCTCTCGTTCTCGTTCTCTCTCTCTTTCTCTCTCTCTCTCTCTCTCTCTCTCTCTCTCTCTCTCTCTCTCTCTCTCTCTCTCTCTCTCTCTCGTTCTCGTTCTCGTTCTCTCCCTCTCGTTCTCGTTCTCTCTCTCTCTCTCGTTCCCGTTCTCACTCTCTCGTTCTCTCTCTCCTCCGTTCTCCTTCGTTCTCTCTCTCTTGTTCCATCTTTCTCGTTCTCTCGTTCTGATTCGTTCTCTCTCTCTCTCTCTCTCTCTCTCTCTCTCTCTCTCTCTCTCTCTCTCTCTCTCTCTCTCTCTCTCTCTCTATCTCTCTCGTTATCTCTATCGTTCTCTCTCTCTCGTTCGTTCTCTCTCTCGTTCGTTCTCTCTCTCGTTTGTTCTCTCTCTCGTTCGTCCTCTCTCTCTCTCGTCCTCTCTCTATCGTTCTCTCACTCTTGTTCTCTCTCTCTCTCTCTCTCTCTCTCTCTCTCTCTCTCTCTCTATCTCTCTCGTTATCTCTATCGTTCTCTCTCTCTCGTTCGTTCTCTCTCTCGTTCGTTCTCTCTCTCGTTTGTTCTCTCTCTCGTTCGTCCTCTCTCTCTCTCGTCCTCTCTCTCTCGTTCTCTCACTCTTGTTCTCTCTCTCTCTCTCTCTCTCTCTCTCTCTCTCTCTCTCTCTCTCTCTCTCTCTCTCTCTCTCTCTCTCTCTCTCTCTCTCTCTCTTCTCTCTCTCTCTAGTTATCTCTCTCTCGCTCTCTCTCGTTACAGCCCTTCTCTTCATTCTCTTTGAAACTTCAATTCTTAATATCAAATCTTTCTTCTTGCATTTGATTCTTCTTTTTTGTTATCGCAGATACTCGCTTTTAGGCAGGATGGATTTGGGGGGTGTGTCGTACCATTTACAGTGCTTGTTTTTTAGTTCCTTCAATTATGAGCAATTGTTTGATATGTTTCATTTCTGTTTGTGTTATGCTTCTTCTCGCTGCAATCGTAATGCATATCTGCATTTTTCAAAAATATATCTTGCCGATCATCGTCACATAAGGTTGAGTGGTCCACCACTATGACACTGAAGCCATTTTCAGCTGGACTTGATTGGTTTAGATATTTTTTTTGGGATATGCAGATTGTATTGCTTTGTTACAGTAGCTGTTTAATTCAACGCTTATATTGCTGACTTCCCCGACATGCTAGGCGGGGGAAGCGGTAGTATAAATTTAAAACTTCAAATATTCATCAATTCGCTTGATGAATATGAGAAATGCAATTATCGTTTGGTCGGTCATTGCAGTTCTCCACAAATTCTCACATTTTATATCATGCGCGTTACAAACGAACGATGTAGAGTAGCAATGACCAGCAAATGACCAGATAGCTAAACAGGTACTGTATGATCGTTATGAAAAGATTGTCTAATTTATTCTCTAAAGAAGCATTTTCCAGTTATTTTACATTTTTTTTTGCAGATAAATTAAGATTCCCGTGAATTTTTTTTTTCTTTAGGTCGATTGCAATAGGTTGCTTCGCAACCCAAAAAAAAACAGAGAGTAAATACGCCCTTATAAGACTGTCCTCGAGATGATCTTATCCAAGTTCACGAATCAGGAATCCATTGACCCTGCTTTGACTCTTCCTGCCAGGTCTGTCCTACCTGCCTTCCCGCCGAGCTGGAATTTGATTGCCGAGATGGGGGCTTTCTTATTCACCAGCCAAATACTGGTGCACCTCCTCCGCCTTGCACCTTACTGCCCCTGGCGACAGCAACGCATAGCTTCCGCTGACGACCATGTCGCCGCCGAAGGCCGACCGAGCGAAACTCGCGTGTGGTACTATAGCATTGGTTGCTCTCGTCATAGTAGCGTCCGCCATGCCCGCCTGCGTGGTCTGTCTCCCGGCGTCCACACGGTGGACACCAAGCAGCGGAGTGTCGGACGACGTGTTCGGCCCGACGTGGCAGCTCCTACTTGACACCCTCGCAAAGTCGGGCCATTCCGGTTTTATTGCGCTTCTACAACACTCTGCTGTCCGCAGCGCCATTAACGGCGCGCTTAACGGCGCGCCGTTTACGGTTTTCGCCCCGTCCGACGAGTCTCTAGTGAGGCTGCCGGCGGTGACCGTCGCCATGTTACAGAACTCGTCGCACATCGAAACCCTCCGCCAAGTCGTGCTGTACCACTTCGTTCGCGATAAAATATCGCGCTTCGCGTGGGAGGGCCCCTGGCGGACCGTGCAAGGCGAGAGCCTCGTTCTGCACCTGGAAGACGCGAGCTTCACTGTATCGGACGTGCCTGTACTGGAATACGCCGCCGCAATCTCGACGAGCTTCGTGGTGCACACGACGGACGGGCTTCTGTTCCCCCCCAGCACCCGCGCGCGCCTCACTGGCGCAGAGGGCCGCGCGCCGGGGGCAGCTTTTCTGGCGAAGGTCAAATCGGCGTCGCAAAAAGAGGGCGGGGAAATTGGCGGAAATGATTATACAGAGGAGTACGAGGAGGACTATGACGAGGATGTATGGCGACGGGAGGCGCTCCAACAATACAACTCATTCTACCTATACGCTCCAGCTCCAGCTCCCGCGCCATCCTGTGTGTACTAGAGTCACAGGGCCCTATTGCAAGGATGGTCGTAGTAGTCTTATGTGGACTTGCCATGAGCAGCTGTGCGGAAGTCAGTGCGGCTGTACTAGGCGGTCAAAGCAGGCAGACCAGTGGCATTTCGCAGCATGCAATGCGGACATGCAATGAAGCACGCGCGAGACTGCCCTGTTGTTTGTGCAGCTGCAGCAATGTGTCAGCAGTGCGAGCGTTTCACCAACGTCCCCCCTTCCCCCCACTCCGCTCAACTCCTTCCCCTTGGTAGCTGGTTACGACCATAAGAAGAAAGTCCTCCCCTTTGAATGGTCCTCCCGTGCGCGCAATGTGTGGCGAAGACGCAGTGAGACTGTAATGCGCTGAGAGCAGGGCAGTGCTGCCGTTTCCCCAACGTCCCCCCTTTCCGTCACGCCTCTTCCTCCCTTCCCTTCACTCCTCGTTCCCCTTTCCCCTCACCCCCTTCCCTTCCCCCCTTCCCCTCACTCCTCTTCCACCGTTCCCCTCAGTAGCTGGTTACGACCATAAGGGAAAATTCCTCTTCCCCCCCCTCCAAATGCTCCTCCCGTGCGCGCAGCTAGTCTATCAGCGGGCGCCATCGCAGGGATTGTGATTGGGTGTGTGGCGGGAGTTGTCCTCATTGCGGCGCTGCTCTACTACCTGCTCGTTGCCCGCCACCACAAGGACGTGCGCTCCCTCTTCTGCTGCTCTCACCCACCGGAAGGTACGCCCTTCGCCTTTCACTCCTTTTCCAACCCCTTCTGGCTTTCTCACTTCCATCTGCTCTTTTCTGTCTTGCCCTCCCCACCCCACTCCGCCCTCTCCTTCGTGTCTCGCCTCTTCGATGCCTTTCTGCAGTGTATGGGCCCGCCACCTCCCTTCCCACCCGCCCCTCCCCACCCCCCTCACCCATCGTCACCATCAGACCCAGAAGAATCTGCAGCCATGGCAGCAGCGGGAGTGGCAGAAGGTGCTGCAGCTCCCGCTGATGCTGATGCTGATGCAGCAGCAGCGCCGTATGCACCCTTAGCAGCAGGGGCAGGCGGGCCGATGCAGTGCCAACAGTACCCACTGGCGGTGCTGAAGCAGGCCACAGGGAACTGGGCGGAGGAGCAACGCATCGGCAGCGGGGGGTACGCAGACGTGTACCGAGCTGTGGACCCCGCAGACCCGTCGGTGGTATGGGCCGTGAAGCGAGCCAAGGTGCTCACCAACGACTTCAAGCGCGAGGTGCGTGCTGCGCTGCACGGCCATGCATGCACTGCTCTTCCTGCTGCATGCATCAGCTCATGGCTTAGAGGGCTTTTTTATTGTGGGTTGAAACAAGCCGTCACCTCACACGTCCTCAAGCACAGCCTCTCATCTCTGTCCGTCCCCACCACTCCCCCCACCGCCTCCCCTCCTCTTCCCTCCTCCTCCTTTCCCCCCCCCCCTCCTTCCTCCTTCCCCCACACCTTTTCCCCCATTTCTCCACTGTCCGTCGTCACCCCCACCTGGACTGGCCTGGGCCCCTTCCCCTTGCCATCACTGCTCGGCAGATCAAGGAGATGGCGTCGAAGCACCACCCGAACCTGGTGCGGCTGCTGGGGTACTGTCTGGACATGGACACGGTGAACGAGCGCATGGAGCAGATCCTCATCTACCAGTTCATGCACAACGGCGACCTCGAGCACTGGGTCGGCACCGACGCCGCCAAAGCGCTCACCCTGGCGCAGCGCATGGACGTGCTGGTGGGGGCGGCGCATGGGCTGGAGTATCTGCACAGCTTTGGCATCGTGCATCGCGACATCAAGCTGGCCAACATTCTGCTGGACGACCACATGCACGCCAAGGTGGCCGACTTTGGCCTTGTGCGCATGGGCGAGGGCACCTCCGTGTACACCACTCGTATTCTCGGCACGCCGGGCTATGTGGACCCCGCTTATTCCCGCACTCGCAAGGCCACAACTGCCACTGACGTGTTCAGGTGAGTGTGTGTGTGCAGTTGAGTGCTTGTGTGTGTGCAGTCGAGTGTATGTGTGCATGCAGGTGAGTGTATGTGTGCATGCAGGTGAGTGCATGTGTGTGTGCAGGTGAGTGCATGTGTGTGTGTGCAGGTGAGTGTGTGAATGTAGCTGTGGTCGGTCACTGCCTAGCCCCCACGAGTGGAATGGCACTGTGTGTGTGCTGTTGTCCTTGTGCACGAGGCTACTGGGTGCAGGCCCATGCGAGGTGGAATGTGTTCGCTTGCCTGATACGCTCCTTGTGTGCCTGCAATGTGTCGTGGCAGCTTTGGCATCGTGATTCTTGAGGTCATCACTGGGAGGCGAGCGCTTGTCAACACAGGCAGTGGAAACAGCACCATTAAAGAATGGGTGAGTGAGCCCTCTCGTGACTCCCTTCTGTACCACCGTAGTTTCTGGTGACAGTTATTGTCCTGTGGGTTGAGCGTGCAAGGCAGGGTGTGTCATTCAATTGGCACTGTGCGGTGGACATTGCAGATCCAATTCACCACGCCCACTTGCATGGCTCCACTGCACGCTGCATCATCCCTCAACCTCTTCTTCTCATTGACCTCCCCTGGCTTCCTCCGATTCCTCCATCCCCCCTCCACGGCAGGCTGAGGAGGCGCTACAGAGCAATGATCTGTCGCGCCTGAGGGATGCGCAGCTGCACCCGCCCTTGCCGGACGACATCCTGCTGCGAGCAGTGCGTCTGGCCATCAGCTGCACGCTCATGCCCACCGCTACGCGCCCCACCATGAGCCACGTGTACAGCGAGCTGGGCGCCATCCGGCAGGAGTGCTTTGGCGCAGAGGAGAACAGAGCAGCGCACAAGGTGGATGACGAGCTGCGCATGGTGCAGGCACAGGTGTCCATCCCGCTAGAAAAACAGCTCGAGTTCATCGAGTCGTTTGGTTCCTCCAAGGCTGAATCATCCTCGCTTGGCAAAATGGGGTGAATAATCTTCTGGAAGTCACTGAAATGTGAGACAGTACCAGGGCTAATTTTATCAGTGTAAATCACCCTGATACATTGATAGTCAGGGTGGTTTTTTGGTAGTCACACTGATGCCTTAGGGTGATTTTTTTCAGAGCTTAGATTTTCTTGATATGCCAGGGTTTACGTTTAAGGCACACTATCGCCCCAGAGTTACCGTTCTCGGGTTGGTCTTTGCAGAGCCGGGATCCAACCCTATAGCTGGTCTTTTGTTCAGAACTTCAGTCATCAGGGTTCTGAATCGGTTGGTCGACTAGTAGGGCAAGAGGTACCTACAAGTAGGAATGTTGAGGGAATTTGTGTACCCTAAACTAGGCAACTCACTATAGCCTAGCAAATTAACAAAACATATCAATGTTATTTGACACACCCCCATAGGCTAAGAGCGTATTCCTATCCTCGTATCAAGAGAACCTCATATCAACCTCCCACTGAAAATTCCCCTAAACCCAAAATCTCTCGCTAGTTTTACCAGGCAAAAAGTACAACGATACGACGATAGGAATGCCGTACGCTCTAAGTGAGGGACATCAAAACAAACAAGCGAAACAGAGGGTCACAAGACTTGTCGAGAGAAGCAACATAGCAGCTCACGGTGGATCACGAAGTCACCACACAGTCCGAGCGCAAACAAACGGCCACAAGGCCAGTTCATAAAGTTTACAAGAAAATATAGATACAAGAACACCAGTGCAAGGATCAAGAGACAAAGCTATAGCAACCAAAATCCTACCTCAACAAGCCCTAGCTGCACATAGAACCAGTGGTTATCACCAGGCGCCAAGGCCTTGGTGAAGACGTCAGCAGTATCATTTGCCTCTCAGGCCACAAAGTCCAAGCGTGCCTAACCACATCGCTGCAACTCTCGCAAGAGTAAGTACCTCACGTCAATGTGCTTCACCCTGCTCTCCAAACGAGGCTCTCGACAAAGGAGGATCATGGCCTTGTTGTCAGCGTATAAGGTCGGTGCAGAGCGAGGCTGCTCACCAAGGTCGGTGAGCAAGAAGGTCAACCAGCGAAGCTCCTGTGCCACCATGGCACCAGCGTAGATCTCTACCTCTGCGCTGGACGAAGCCACAGAGGATGACCGTGTGGACCTCCACGACACAGCACCAGCACCCAGACTGAAGCAGTAACCCTGAGTCGAACACTGAGTCTCCATATCGTCAACGTAGGAAGAGTCGTAGTGGCCGGTCAACTCAACTGGCTTAGTCCCTCCAAGCACACGCCCCATGCCTGATGTAGTCTCCAGATACTTCGCCACCCTCACAGCAGCTATTTAGTGAACAGGACGGTGTCTCCTAGTCGCAACAAGGCGAGAGAGGATGCTAAGCGGAAAAGCTGAGGTCTGGCCAAGTACAAGTCATCAGGTATATGAAGCAACCCACAAGCTCTGCGTAGGGACCACTTGACTCAAAGGGCTCGTCGGGAAAGGGGCCAGTGAGTCTGTGGTCAACAGCAAGAGAAGTGGGCTGGGTGGTGGAGAACTGAAACTCGAACCGCCGAAGGACCTGCTGCACCATGCGTGAGTGCGTCAACGCGATGGTGCGAGCGCCTCTGTCCCTGATGACCTGCAGTCCAAGGTAGCGCTGCAGTTCACCGAGGTCAGTGCATGTGTGCTTCTTCTGCAGTTCGGATTTCACTTCAGCCAGAGCTGCCCAGTGTACTGTAGCAAAGATCAAGTCGTCGACGTAAACAAGTGGTTCTGAAAATTGTTACACTATGGCCTAAGGGTAAATTTCTTGAAACTTTGGAAAACCCTGAGGGAAAAGTTTTTTCCCAAGGGGTCAGACTGATAATCAAAGTTTTGCAAAGGTGCAAGACTGATGATAAGGGTTGCTTAAAACAAAAAATTAGCCATGGCCATCATGTTGAAAACACTTATTTTTAGTATTTAAGAAAAACAAACACTGCACTCTCAAAGTACTAGCGGAATCGGTTGGTCGACTAGTAGTGCAAGAGGTACAAGTAGGAATGTCAGTGAAGCCAAGAGGACGCTGCAGCCAGATCTCCTGGTGTAGGCGGCCCTGGAGAAACATAGTGGAGAAGTTGAGGGAGTGCAGCTCGTAGTCTCGCTGTGCTGCTACGTGCAGTAACAATAAAAAAGTAGTCATCTTCGGGGTCGGGGCGAAGGTCTGGACGAAGTCAACTCCCTCATGCTGACTAAAACCCCTAGCCACGTAGCACACCTTGAACACAGACGGTGAACCAGGCGGCCACTTCACCTTGAAGAGCCACATGCCATCAACAACAACACTGCATCGACGTAAGTGCCTGTGGATCTCCAAGACACTAACTCAGAGTCCAAAGCCGCTTTTCACTGAGAGGCCCACTCCCTTGACAATACCTCACGATATGAGCGAGGTGTCGGAATGTCAAGGGCGTCGGGGTATCCCTCAGGGGAAAGCAGCATGGCGCAGAGAGAGGGGGAAGCGGCTGCTAAGAACTCCAGCTCAAACGGCTTGTCCTCTAGGATGTCAAAGCCAAAGGCAGAACCATCCCCGACAGACAGAGCACGGAGAGGTGGAGCAGCCACCACGTGCGTGGCGTAGTCAAGACGGCAGGTGGAAGCAAAGTAAGTGACAGCGGCAGTAAGAGCCTAGACAGACGACGGAGAGAAACGAGAGTCGGTAGCACGAGTTGGTAGAACACGGGAGACAACAGGGCGAGTTGCACGGTAGTAGTCAGAGATAGGGGTAGGAAAGACAGGAAGAGAGGACGGAGGAGGAGAAGGGAGAACGGACACATGCGGAGAATGACGACGAGAAGAACAAAAGAGGGCAATGCGGAAAGTAGAACGAGAATGAATGCACTAAGGAATGAAAGTGGTACAAATATGCAACCCTAGAAATGTGTACCCCATATAGGCTACCCCACTACAGCCTACATAACATTATAATTTGACACACCCCCATAGGCAAAGTGGGGGAGAACAAGGGGTCACAAGACCAGTCAAGCAAAGCAAAGCAAGGCTCAGGGTGGATCACAACGTCACCACACAGTCCGAGCACAAGGTCAAGGCCATAAGGTCAGTTCACATGCAGGAGTACACATATATATATATAAGGCTAAACAAACAAGAGCAGGTATATATATATATATATATGTAAGAGTACAAGCAAGGTCAAGAGGTGAGCAAGTGAGGCAAGACAGGCACAAGACCCAGCTGAGTGCAGAAGCGCTGATGATAACAAGGCGGAAGTGCCTTGGTGAAAACATCAGCAGTGTTGGCCTCAGAGGCCACGTACGCAAGTCGCAACTGACCACGCTGCTGCAGCTCACGAGCAAGAAAGTAGCGGAGAGCAATGTGCTTCGTTCTGTGCTCCAGGCGCTGCTCCCGACACAAGGCCAGCATGGCCTTGTTGTCTACGTACAGCACTGGAGGAGAACGAGGCGGCTCTCCGAGGTCAGTCAGCAGGTAGGTGAGCCAGCGAAGCTCCTGTGCAGCCATGGCCCCGGCGTAGATCTCAGCCTCACAACTGGAGCCGAGAACAGAAGACGAGCGAGTAGCCCGCCACGAAACAGAGCCGGAACCAAGACTAAAGGTGTAACCCTGTGACGACCGCTGCGTAGCCTGGTCGTCAGCCCAAGAAGCGTCCGCGTGCCCAGTGAGGACCACTGGACTCCACCCTCCAAGCACTAGCCCCATGCGCGACGTACTGCACAGGTAGCGCAACACCCTCTTCGCTGCAGCCATGTGCTCTGGTCTGTGTCTCCTAGAAGCAACATAGCGTGCAAGAATGCTAAGAGGGTATGCAAGGTCAGGTCGTGTGCAGGTCATCAGGTACATGAGGCAGCCAACAAGCTCTGGGTACGGGCCACTCGACTCTACGGACTCATCCGAAGGCAGAGCTGAGAGCGAGTGGCGAGTAGACAGAGGAGTGGCCTGAGGCGAGGAGTACGTGAAGCCGAAGCGCTGAAGGACCTGCTGCACCATGTGTGACTGAGTTAAGGTAATGGTGCGGCGTGCTCTGTCCCGGGTGATCTGCAAGCCAAGGTAGCTGCGCAGTTCACCCAGGTCTGTGCACGTGTGTCTCTTCTGCAGCTCGGACTTCACGTGGGCGAGTCCAGCAGTGTCAGCTGTGGCAAAGACCAAGTCGTCGACGTACACGAGGATGTAGAACGGCGGCAGAGAGGTGTCGGTGCGCAGAAACAACGACGGGTCAGCAGTAGAGGGAGCAAACCCAAAAGCCGCAAGCGTAGTCCTCAGTGTGTCGTGCCACTCGCGCGGTGCCTGGCGGAGACTGTAGACTGGCCGTCGGAGGCTCCACTGGGTGGACGGCGCAGCCAGATCTCCTCGTGCAGGCTTCCCTGCCGGAAAGCAGTGCTGAAGTCAAGGGAGTGAAGCTCGTAGTCACGCTGAGCGGCTATGTGTAGCAGCACCCGAAGAGTGGTCATCTTCGGGGTGGGAGAGAAGGTCTGAAAGTAGTCAACTCCCTGCCGCTGACTGAAGCCACGAGCCACGTACCGCACCTTGAAGACAGGTGGAGAGCCCAGCGGCCGCTTCACCTTGAAGATCCACATGCCACTGACGATGTTCGCCCCAGGAGGGGGAACCGCGTCAACGTAGGTGCCTGTGGACTTCCACGAAGCCATCTCTGCATCCATAGCTGCCTGCCACTTAGAGGAGTAGGGACCCTCTACGGCCTCCGCGTAAGAGCGCGGAGTCGGGATGTCAAGTGCATCCGGGTCTCCCTCAGGGGTAAGCAGTACGGACAGAAGATGATGTGAAGCAGCAGCCAGACACTGGAACTCCTCCTGCCTTTCCTCAAGGACGTCCGTGCCAAGAGCACACTCACCCCCGACGGACAGAGGACAGACAGACGCAGACTCAGCAACGAGACTAGCAGCGTAGTCTAGACGACAGCGAGCAGCAAATTCGACGAGCTCAACAAGAAGAGCAGACGCAGCAGTGGACTCAAAAGAGGGGTCAGTGACGACAGTAGCAAGGAGACGCGTGAC